AAGGCCCAAAAGTAGGGGTCACAAGAGATAAATTGTAGAATACACTTGTTGCAAAGATATTATGGACTGTCTGACAATGCTGTTTGAGTTACCACCTGCCAGGTGCTGAGATCACATGAATGTTTCACAATCTTTTGTTTCACAATAATAATTACAGTCGCAAAGAAGGCTAAAAGTAAAGACAGAATGGATTTACAAATCAATCATTTTTAAGTCTAATAATAAGGCTTTCTCTGAAGTAGAAGAAAGTCGATGGAGTTTTACCTAGAGCCCGTGTACAGTATTAGCAGTTACAAAGAAACACAGAACAAAGCAGAAAACAAAACAGTTGATAGGAAAATATCAAATTTGTAGAAAGTGTAAGAGACGTGGAATAGGATTTCTTTTGGGACAGAGGTAAATTATTCACACACCTGGCTGAGGTTGGTATGTTTAAACCTTGACTGAGTGGCTGATGACTAAGCATTAATAAAATGTATACTCCCTTCTGAGAATGGTGGGGGCTTTTCGGGCTTTCTGTAACTGTGATATGCTATACTGATATGATTTTTTAGTTCATTATGCAATCTTTTTAATGTCCCCTCCCCCCATTATTTAAACATCTTTGACCTCTAAAATGTGGTTAGAATGCTTGCGATGGGGTGATCCTGGGCTTCCCAGTAGGTAAGGATTCCTTCTACAGAGAAGAGATGTGGAACAAATGTCCTAGGAAGTCACTCAGGATTAGCTATGCCATTCATAACGACTGATCACCTACGTGTGATTTTTTTTTTTTGCGCTTACATTCAACAGTACTTTCAGAAGAACGTGAATTAAGGTGGATCGAACAGCCTGAATTCTGTTCATGCTTAAAATTTCTTACTATAGCAAAAGCTTAAAGTACTTCCAAGAAACATGTGTTTAGAAATCATTCCTCTTGAAAATTTAGATTAGACACTAAAAGCTCCCTATGAAACTGCCCATCAATCCTGTGGTAAAATACTTTTTGTTTATAAAAAATTATTTTTCCCTCCTCTCATTTACAGTCACATAACCAGTCAGCAATTCTTTCCTATGAAACGAAAACCAACCAATTGCTTTCCAGCGCCTACCAATTTCCTTCCTTTTCTTTGTTTTGCCGAGGTTTGAGCCATCATGCTGTATGAGGCAAAGGGTTGGCCTTGTTCCATGGTCTGCAGAGTCGTGAAATGATTGAATTCAAGTTTCTGGCTCAGAAAGTGAGTCCCTTGTGTGGACTTTAAGTTATGTTCTAAATCTTTCTATGTAATTCTTCTCTAAGAAGGGATGCCTCTCCATGTGGTTCCTCATTTTCAAGAGGTTTTGTGAGGATTAATCAAACAGAGGGCACTCTGAAGATGAAATTTGTAACATCGGATTTCAGCACGCTTGGCTTACAGGACATTTCAGAATCCATTTCCAGAGTCTGTTCCTTTAACTGGCCACTCCATGAATGAAGCTCCCTGGGTGTGGAACCCAGGAAGGTCTGGCATAAAAGATATCACCAGTACGAAGCCTTTGATCACGGCCAGTTTGATTAGGGTACTTTGGAGTGGTAGCTGAAGAGAGCCCGTCTTGTTCTCACCCAGGCAGGGTTGTCTATGACTGATCTGTCCCTGGCTGTGACGGTGCATACTCAGCAGGTGGTGCATACAAGAAAAAGAGCATCACTCACTTTTCGTGTGAGGTCAGTGTTAGAGCAAGTACGAGGTTTTGCTATTCTGCAGGCTCACACAATGGCCCTGCATGCAGTGTAGGCTTATTGGGTTCAGCAGAAATGTCAGAACCTCACAGTATTGGTGAGCATTTTATAGATGCTACAATATTGCTTGTGAAGTGGTTGATTCTCCAATTACAGAAAATATATTTAGAATAAGAAACAGAACAGAATCTAAATTACCTTAAATTAATGCCTAAATTTATATGGAATGAAAGCTGCCCTTTCCATAATAAAATGATAAAAATTATTAATGGGCTTAGTAATGGCTTTGATTTTGCAGTTATCAAAAATATCAATGGCCTAGCAGCATTGTCTAAAAAAAAATTGTGACCAGAAATATATCAAAGTCAGTGCTTTTTTGAGTAGGACAGAAAACTCTGAATTCTTACCTTTGCTCATGATTTTGAAACTACCCCGTGAACATTGCATTATTAATATAATAGAGAAACATTTATATACGGCATCTATTTTTTAAAATGTAGCCTCAATAAAAAATGAACAACAGAAGCCAACAGCAGCTGACATTTTAATGTTGATCTGTGCTCAAGTGAAATGACGCTTCGTGTTGACATAAGTAAAGTTTTCAATAAGTTGATGTGCTTACCCCATAAACAAGCTCGCCTACCATCCCATTCCAGATTTTGGTGTCTGCATCCCTTGCTCCATATTTTCCATCAGGGACAATGGCAATTTTATACTTGATACCAATGTGTTTTGCAATTTCAGATGCCAAATCTACACAGTATCCTTCATACTTGTCATTTCCTTCAAACATCTCATGATTCTTCTTGTACATAACATATGGGGATTCCTATAATGAGAGAAGTAAGACTGTAAAGGAGAAATGACAAAACATGCCATTTAAATGCCTTGATGCAATTTTTTCAGTTTTAGCACTTGATTAACTCTTATATTTAGTAGTAATATATGTGCTGATTCTGTGTGGCTAGAAATCAAGCATAAGATATCTGAAAATATAATTATGCATAGGAGAATATTAAATTACTTTACCTTGGCCCTAAAATGGACATCCTTAAAATGATTTCCTATTGGTGGTAACACACCACTCCTTGAGACCATGTTAGGAAAACATGTCCTCTAATAGTTGTCTGGATAAGTATAAATTATCATCGATGGCTATTAAATTGATAGTTCCAATATCTCTCATAAAATAAAGGCTATTTCGCAGCTTCCACTCCATGTACCAAAAGCCTCATTGAAGGTCACATTCTGCATCTTGTCTACCGATGTTCAACTGGGATATCCTTTAGGAGTAACTCAGTTTTCCTTGACTGCTAGAATTCAGCAAGATACCTTTCACAGGCTAGGCACTTGCTACCCATTTGCTCAATAAATGGGTGATAATCAAGCTGTTAATAAAATTGCTTTTTAAAGCTGTTGATCTCCTTATGTATGGTCAATGAATGTGATTTCGTAGTCACCTGATATTTGGGCTTTAAATGAGTTTTGTGCTCCACATATTGCAATGCTAATAATAACATGTATCCCCCAGGGAACTAAGAATTTCTCCATGTTCGTGAGGAACACACATCAACTGCATTTCCGTTCAGTATTCAAAGCAATGGAGACAGAAAATAATGATTGTGAAAGTTCTAATAAAACCCAAAGGCTTCCTGGTGGTTAAGAACAACTGGAAAGTTTTCAGTTTAGAAGCAAAACCAAAAAACCACCAAGAACACATACACAGAATCCACCCCACTTTGCACAAAACAAAATAACCCCACCCCCCAACAATTACAATGCATCAACCACAGACTTATGTTAGCAAAAACAACAAAAAAAATCATTTGATTTAAGAAATTGAAACGATAGCCACCAAAAGCCTCCCGCCCAAAGGCAGGTCTGGGAAATCTCAAATATGGGATTTTCAAGCCACTTGCTGAACATGCACTTCCAGCTGAATTTGTCCAGTCACGTGCCGAATGAGAGTGACAGTCCCTGACCACAGCATCATGAGTTCTATGTCACATGTTTATGCTATGCAAACGGAGCCATAACATTGACTTAGCAATCTCTCATCCATATCTTTTCTTTTGAGTCAACAAGTTTTTAGTTGGGAGGGTTGAACTTGCTTTTGGAATCCAGTACAGAAAATAATCTACTTTGTATAATCTGGCATGTTTTTCTAACTCTGATTCTGTTTTCCAGTACTTCGTGAAAATAGAAAGTACCTTTGAAACTGGCTAAGGACAACAAATTACTTGATATGTGGCTTTAAGTAAAGGAGAGTATAGTGGGGAATTGGCCAGCATTAGCCTTTGCATTATCTTCTTAAATCCTGCCTTAAGTTGATTGGCCAAGTGAACTAGAACTCTCCCATTCATCTTTGAATTTTCTAGATATTCTAATACTGGACTCAGGTAAAGGAAGTTTCTCTACATAAACAATGAAAACAATGATCACGTCTTCTCTCAATATGTGAAAATTGTGTACTCACTGAAAATATTCTACCAATATAAAGGATGTTGTAAATTATAAATGTGGTCATGAAAATTGATGAGTTGTCCAGCATTGTAAATTTCTAATTTATGCTTTGAAACATCAGTAGTTATATTATGCCAATCCTTTCATGTTCACTCTTTTTAGAAAATAATTTAATTAAAATATGGAAAATATGTTGAAAAATCCAAGAGCCACATCTTTGTAAAATGTTTAACATTCTAATTGAAATGGCTGCACAACTATTCTCTATAATTATAACTATTAGCATAACAAGCTTAAGATGCTTTAAAAAGCACTACAGCTAAATTTCCCATTTGGTATTGAGGTTGGCAGTCAATTAAAAAATATCTGAAACATTTGAACATATGCATTTTACCTTTGAAGTATATATATTACCATATTAGCTTGTGTGCAGAAATTCCTAAAGCCAGATTGATCACTTAATTCACTCTATTCCCTGCGTATTACAGTGTAATACTTGCTTCCTTAACAGCTGCATTTTTCTTATTTAATGAACAAACATGTATTAAGCATCCACCACGTGCTGGGCATTTTTCTTGGAGCCAAGGAAATACAAGTAAAGAAAACATGAAGGTAAAGTCAAAAGGTGTTGCCGCTAGGACTCAAGTTCACCCACTGATTTCAACACAATGTGTGAGAACAGGTCTCTGGGGTCTGTTGATGACTGCAGACCACTCTTTTTGGTAATACAATGTTTTTAGTCTAGTTAGAGTGCCTTCAAGAAATAAAAATACATTTCTCATCAAAATTCAAGGTAGAGAGGGCAGCTCAGAAGGCATGGCAACCGTTTGCGGGGATGACTGGGAGGATCATCTTGACAGATTTTCTTGAAGGACACAGGATGGCCAGGATATATTATTAGGGGAAAAAATTAAGAAAACAGAAAACTATATTGGTAAGAAAAAGTACAGGAAAATTATGCCAGGGGATTTCTTTTTCCCCCTTCACAACAATGCACTTGTTTGTTCTCTGAAGCAAGGGTTGTCTTCTGAGAACATCAATGGGAAACCTTACCCCATCTACCCTCCAGACTTGAACTGGTCCCTTCAGGTTTCTTAATGTTTTCCAATCTGAAAGTACGTTGAAAAAACAAAACAACAACAACAACAACAACAACAAAAACAACCACTATTCATGCCCGTTGAGATTGCCAAAACTACTGTTCTGATGTGGTGTAAATGAAAAAAAAAAAAGAAAAGAATTCTTTAGGGGAAGAAGTAGAAGCTAGAAACCACCTGCAGAAGCGTCTAGACCTAGAAGGCGGCTACACGAGGACACAATGGCTTCACACTTGGACATCTTTTAAAAGAAAAGGTTTCTATGAGTCCGCAGTAATGTTTTTTGACTTACCCTCAGATTCTCTTTGTTTTCTTGATTGGACTCACTGTGGATTATTTTTGTAGGTGGTAAAGGTATGAGACAGACAGCTATAATAAAATATAGCTCCTGGTTTTTCAGTGACTGCTCTGTGTCGGGGACTTTACCCTTCCATTTACTTCTCACAATAACATCGTGAGACAGGCATTCCCTAGTTTGCTGATAAAATGATCCCCGTTCACAGATGTTAAGCAAGTTGATCCATTGTACAAAGGTAGCAAGTTACAGAGCTGGGATTTGAATGTCTGTTTTGAAATATCTGAAAAAGTTTGAAATGATTATTCATTCCTTCTACATATGTACAATCATTGGACATTTCATATGATTCACTAGAGAAGAGACAAGATTAAGTATGTCTATTTCCGCATATTTTTTTTCCTGAAAGGAAAAAGTTTTTGCAAATCTTGAGTGAACAATGTAGATAAAACCTTTCCTTTTCACCTTATAATGCTTAGCATTTAGAAGGCACTCAATAAATATCGATTTGCTGGCCAATCCATCTATCCTAAAAGGAAAACTACTGCAGAGTAATTATATTAAGGTACTCTGATTCAATTCTTCAAAAGGAAAGTAAATATTAAGAAGTGCTAAGTCGTCTCTTCTGAGCTAGGCACATGAACACGCACAAAAATCTAGTTAGTGTTGGTTTGCCTTCCCTCCCTGACCCCTCCACAGAAAACGGTTCGGAACACATTCAGCTGACGGAGATGTTACTGGCCATGGCATTTAGCTAGACCTTGTGCTCAACTAGGAGTACAAACCAACGATTAAGATGAGTGCATAGAGCATAAGAGCAATGTACCGCTCACACTCAGAATGGTGGGAAGAACCAAGCTTTTACAGTTTCTCCGTTCAACTCAATTTCGTGAAGTTGGTGTCATTGTACTGTTCTTTCAAGCCAAACCCTACTGGGGGGAAAATCCTCAACACTTTGAGCTCTCCATTTGCTTCACCCCTAATCCGATAAATTGTCCGCAGGTAGCTCTTAAATCACACCATCTATGAACAGATTTCACCGAAGTTTTGTGGACAAATAAAATAGTCTTCTCAACAGCAGCAACAACAAAAATCACAAAGTAGAATTTGTGGGTGTTTTAATAAAAAAGTATATTGGTAATATCAAGTGTTATTTGTAAATAAACAGAAGGATCAGTAGAGGGGACTATCATGGCCTCTTACTTCGGCCTGCAGAGAGGCTTCCGTCTGCATCACAAGCGACTGTGCTCTAAACGGTGGCCTGTGCACTGCAAGATCAGTGGCTCAAAACGACCAGCTGTGCAGCAGCTCTGGTGAAGACTTATAGTCTTAGAGGTGACTTTGAATGCATTACTTCTTACTGATTATGAGGGTTGTTTTTTTCCCCTGCTTTTTACTAAAATAATAATTTCAATAATAGATGGTCTTTCACATCTACTCTGCTTTTTCAGAAAGAAATCATTCTTTGTTTAAAGCTGGTAAATTCAGGAGTTGTGTGTGTGTACATGTGAACCGATATTAGTAGTTGGCACAAAAGAACATATCTGTTTTTTATGTATGTGATCCAGAAATACAAGGAGAATAGGTGGGGCAATAGTCAACTACTTGACTGCAACTGCAAGGTCAACAGTGTAAATGCCCCAGCGGCTCTGTTGGAGAAAAGACCCGAGAATCTTCCCCAAGGAAGACACAGACAAGGAAATACTAGTAGCTCACCTCTCACCTCCATACTACATAGCATCGCTCAATTTGGAATCAATTCAACAGCACACAATAAAATAATACATGAATATAGATTACATATGTTCTATGTATGTATACATACAGTGCTGCTACAAAATTCGATATAGAGAAGATCAATATTAAACTTCTCATAAAGTACTCTGAAAAGATCACATGTAACAAAATTACTTGTGTTTGTGATATAATTCTGAATTTCCAGTGAATAAATTTAGTTTTATATACATTTTTTTCCCTTAAAAGTGTTATTTTCCTTAAATGGTGAGAAATAACTTCTTTCTGTGCAACGTAGTCCATCATTTAGCTTCAAGGATAAAACTTCGGGCAAAAAGAAAACTTGGTGGAGATCCCGGTACATTACCTCTACTTTTCCTGAGAGATTGGTAGACACTCAAAGAAAGTAGTGAGATTACAGTGGAGAACGATTCCCTCTCCCCGCCCAATGTCTACCATAAATGTCCTTTTCCTAACTCATTGCACTAATCCGGGCTTCATGGCATAGATTTGTCTTCTTTTACTCGTCAACAAAGATTACTGTTTTGAACTTGACAAGTTATACCAGTTTGATCACAGTCACGTGAATTTTACAAAATTTTCAGTCAGTAAGTACTATCTGAAAAAAAAAAAAGATGCTGAATTAAACCCCCAGTTTTAGAAATCTCATCTGTGTAGCCACGATACTCATGTGACAAAATCGATGACTTTAATTTTTTATTTTGATTTAGCTAAGTTATATTCTCTATGAATATGGTCGAGTGGACTTAACATTAAAATGGAGAGTTCATAGATAAACCATACTGTATAAAAGAATGAGGAAATTTTAACATAATTTGTGGCTTTATCCACATTTTATTTAGAATGATAGTCAATAGATTTATGCTTTTTGTTTACTTTCTACAAATAGAATATAAGTTACATTGAATGGAGAAATGTTTGCCTCTTTTGTTATTCTTTTGCCCCATGGTCTATAACTGTGCCTAGCCATAGCAGACGCTCAATAAATATTTATGAATAGTTGATTTGTCAATCAATTTTATTCAATAATATCATATATAAGTACAGTGTATCAACAGATAAATAACAACATGCACAAAGGAAAAACAAATGGGAGGACAGTGACACCAGATTTATTTCTCTTAGAATGACCATTTTCCAGCGCTCTTATTCTCTTCTGTCTCGATATCTGTCTTGTGCATATTACAATGTCTAAATAGCCCCATCTATGTAGGGAGCTATGCCGTTGAATTTGGGGACTATTACATGCAATGTCAATATCGCATTCATCTATAAGGAGCCATGTTTCTTTCAGTACGAATGAGCAGGAGGAAATGTCACAGGTCTCTACAACTATTTTCAAAAAAGCAAGCACAAGGGACACCTTAGAGAGGATTCTAGAATGTCTTTTTGAACATAGCTGCAAATGTCAGAGAAACTATTCGTATGAAGATTACATTTTTATACAAAAGACAGATACTTGTACTTCACTAATTCCATAGCAAAAATATCGAGGATATCACTGTCAAACAATAGATACTGTATAGACTATTCTTCAGGTTTATAAGGAACAATAAATTTTTTCATCATTATTACTTATTTCTATATAGCATGCTTCATGAAAACTAGTCATGCTTGCACAATGAATTTAGTACTGTGGTTTTAAGAATTTTTTCTCCAGCCTTTAATTAGAGGGATGGAGATGAGATGTTTCATATACACCTATATTGCACATTAAAAGACTTTATTTCACACAGAACAGGCACATATTCAAAAAAATCTCTAAAGAAAGCTATGGCATATGTTTATAAAACAAGCACACACATTCAGAGATTTTGCATGAGGAGTAATATAATTCCATCATTTCCATACAATGACCTCATTTCAAGATATGGCAATTGATGTCAGGATTATTAAGTGATTCTTTTTCAGCATCTAGTTGTTTTCTTGAGCAAGATGAAAATTAATTCTTCTTATGTTCTAGTATTTCAGAAAAGTCACAAAAATGTAAAAATATTTCTTTCTGGTAGTCCAGAGTTGGCCATCCAAGTAGAATCCCACATGAAAAATTAGTTTAAATTTACTACATTGGAGAACAAGACTTGAGCTTTAGTTAGGAATGGTCGAACAGCATGGAACTCTTGTCTTTCTTGATCAATTTCTTAAAATAGGATTCTTCATCAGAGGCTGAAAAGAGGAGGACTGTACTGAAGTATGACTTTCCATGACTGTCTTTTTTAGGAAAAGAAATATATATATATTGCTTTTCAAGTCCCATGCAAATATCCTTAGAAAGGTATACAAATTGCACATTTTACACACAATCTACTGTTGGTTGGCTTGCATTCTAAAACCATAACCTTCCAATCAAGGTTGGCAGATTACATTAAATTGCTAACTGGCGATGCAACATAGATAAAATGAATCACAATATCTGAAAGTTTGGGGCTGGCATTTTCATACTTTCATTTTTGGGAATAATTTGACATTCTTAGAAACCTCAAACTAAAATTATGTAAGCTAAAAACTAACTCCATTTTATTTAGAGTAAGTGCACATATCAATACTTAGAAATAAGTTTTGCTTAATGAGCCATTGGGGTGGAGATATATCACTTTATATTTGATAGGAAAGGTCACCGATTGCTGATCTCCTTTGACTAGTTTTGACTTTAAAGGGCATGTTTGACTTTGGAAGAGGAAAATACATAAAATATTCCATTATCTAAAAGGCAATTTCATGAGAACCTCTTGGAAAAAGCAGTCTAAAAATTTAAAGCAGTTTTCAATGTGTGACGTGACAGGCAGTCATAGTTTTAGTATGTCTTAGGAGATGCCCAATAAAAATAATGTTCTGTTTTTGTCTATGGCCAACGAGAAGAACAATCAGTGCGAAAATCCCTTTTAATCAATAAAATATAAAACAAAATGAATTCTATAGAATATATAAAAAATATAAAACATGCTCATTAAAATCCTTACATTCATATCTCTACTGTTATAAATAGACAGCAAACTATTAGTTGATGATTAAACTCCTTGGAAAGTCTGATTTTAAACATGACTGCCTATTAGTACATAGATTTTAAATAACACAATAGCAGTAGTAATATGGTATTTGCTGCTACATATTTTTATGTGATTGGTTGTAGACCTTTTATGTGTTCACTCGTTTGTGTTTTTATTGGGGGGGGGTCTTAGCATTTCATATATTTTCAACTAGAGAGTTCAACAGTGTCAGCCGTTATCATCTGAGCAATTTTCTAGGAACAAGAATATGACAGAAGATAATAAAAATAACTGTACGAATATACACTTCAAGCTCAGGACATACTCTGCAAAGCCTCAACAGACTTCTCGTGAATCAGAAGACCCAGGACACAACGAAGATCCACGCTTTCTCTCCCTGATCATCAGAGCTGGGCGTTAGAAATGTCGGTGGATCAAATGGAAGAGGATAAGGCATAGACCCACACTTACCATAATCGTGGTCACTACTACTGTTCTGTTTTCAATAGCTGCTGTGTCATTGCCAAGAGTGGGCACATCTTGGATCAAGACCAATTTGTCCATATCATTCCAGTAACCAACCTGTAAAGTAAACAAAACGCTTGAAGATCTACTTTGAGAGTCCTCGCTAGTCTTTCTTAAAACAACAAGGAGTACAAGTAGGTAAGCACACAAAGCAATGTTTAGAGGCAAACAAAAATAACAACAGCAAAGTGATTAGACCTTTTGTCAGTCAATAATAAGCCCATTTTCTTGTTGGGCAATGATATTGTCTGTTTATATTTGGCAACTTTACCATTCATATGGAGTAGCTCTTGTTAATGGCTGGTTCAAAAAGGAATAAGGAGGCAGATGGACAAGCACTTTGTGTTCATCCTCTCTTCTAGTGCGACGGACTGGTCGTCCCCTCAATGGATTTACTTGATTTTCTCAATAAACTTACAAATCGTATGGGAGTCCCGGATAGTCAGACGAATAAAAGGGACATATACAGGATATTTTTAAGAGGCAAATATAACTTATGTATTTTTAAAGCAATATAGGAATAATCCTTAATTCGAGATAAACTAGTCACTAGGTAAGGAGCGAGACGAGGATCTCTACTCCTGCAAAGGGTTCGAGTCTTGGACACCCACAGGGGCAGCTCTATGCTGTCCTATAGATTCTCTGTGACATGGCCAACTGGATTTCAGCCTCTTTGGTCTTGCTAAGTCAATCCCTTTGACCTTTCTAAAACGTTAACTACAACAGAGAAAATATAAAAGGATAAATATTTTTCACATTGGAAAAATGCATTTAAGTTTGTATTTTTTTCAGTTTCCAATCCTCATGTTATTATCTCATTTAGAAATAACAAATACTTTGTCATACTTGACAAGTGTGGGCTCTTTGCATTATATAGCCCCTTATGAAATCATAATAGCCGCTAAACATTGAGTGTTTATTCTGTGATGGATACCATATATGTATTTGTGTGTCTGTGTATATGAGTATATATACATATATGTGTATATTTATAAAAGACAACTCATATAGAAATTTTACAGACAAGGCTATTATTATTGATATTGTAGAGGTGGGGCCCAGTTTAGAATGTTTCATGAACTTACACCCTAGTGTAGACGATTGAAAACTTCAGACTGAATGACACCCAAACCATTATGCAATGGCAAAATATCATCATCTCAACATGGGGGTTCATTTAATACTTGCAAAATATCTTTCTCGAATTTCTTAATGCAGTTAATAAAACTCACTTCTCCAATAAAATGTATGTGTGGGTGTAAGTTGAAAAGTATCAATACAAATCTTAGAAACCCTTATTTAAAAAAATATCAAAAGTGAAGCTATTATTTCTCATCATAGCTTGCACCCAGCTCTGTCCACTTCTAAAAAGTGGTGCTTCCATTTCCATAATTCTTTCCTAAAAAATTTCTCACTAAATTCTCTCTCACTGTCATTGAGTCAATTCTGACCCATAGCAACCCTGTAGGGCAGGGTAGAACTACCCCTGTAGGTTTTTGAAGTGGTAACGATGGAAGTAGACAGCCTCACTTTCTCCGGTGGAGGGGTTGGGGCTTTCACACCACAAACCCATGGTTGGCAGTGCAATGCGTGACCACTACACACGCCACCAGGGTGCCTGCTCACAGATGACCCTGTGCCAAAACCAGCAGTTGGGGCGCACTTGCAGGAGTCGAACTGTGTTTCTTATAAATGTTCTTTGCATTTAGGGAACAAAAAGACATTTGAAGGACAAGGTCAGGACTGTAAGGAGGGCGGGGTGAGGTTTCCCAGTGAAATTCTCATAGGACAGTCCTTGCTGCTCTGGAAGGAAGAGTGGGTACAGGGTTATGGTGGGAAACGTGTCTGGGCATAGCTTTTCTGTCCATTTTCATACCAACACAGTTTTACACTTTCTTAAGGCTTTTTCATAATAACCCCCAAGGATCATCCTGTGTCTTTTAAGAAACCCTATTGTGATACACCTGACCTGAATGGTTAAATCCTTATCAGTTGTTTCCCCCTCCCACCTCCCACGCTCCGATTCATTCTGGGCCTCTTTTGATTTTCAACAATTTCTTTATTTTTGTTGTTGTTGCTCTTCATCTCAGTGATTATCTCAGATGTGTTATCTCATCGGGAGTCACCCTCTTGGATTTTTGTCATATGTTTCTCTGTTTTGCGGTATATGAAACCCAGGATTGATCAACCTACAGGGAGAGCATAGGGCTTCTGGGGGGTGGCGGTGGTCCACTGGGGGAGGGGGTGGTAGTAAAAGGGGGAACATATCAATGAGTCCAGGAAGGAGAAAAAAAGAAAACGTTGAAAACTGATTGTGGTAGCAAGTGTACAATACTCTTTATGCAATTGAACTATGGAATGATATGATATATGTATGAACTCCCAATTAAAAAAACCCAGATCATTTAGGAATACTAAGAAACCAACAACCATACCCTTCGGAGTTGACCTAACTGAATTAACAGATCCCAGAAGAAGCCGCCCTTTGACAGGAATGGCTTCAAAGAAACAGATAAAAACCCAGTTGTTTTCTGGCGATATTCTTTTTTATTGGCAGTTATATGACATCAAAGTGGGGTTCACCTGTTTAGTCCTCCATTAAGATGTAGCCTCCCTGCAGATTTCCGCAGCCTGTTCTCCAGAAGAGAGAATTTTTCTTTACTAATGAGTTCCCACAACAGAAAACTCATGGCTCTGAGAGACGTTTTTTGGAAAGTCCCCAGAGAGAATCAAGAGTTGGGAACTTTGCATTAAAAAGCAGACCCGGGGTCACTTTTTAATCCCCCACAAAAGACAAATGATTCAGGAAGATGCAGGTATATTAAAAGTATAAACAAAATTATTTCTAACTATACATAGTTGGCTTGTATGGACTTGCAATTCTGATGAAAAAAGAAAAGAAAGATGGAATTCTGGTGAGAAAAGAAGGCTGCGGTTTGTGATAAGGGGCCGATTCCTGATAGACTTCCTATAGGCAAAGGGCTTATGATAGGAAGAAGACCACCCAGCGATCACTCTCTAAGAAAAACATTCTAAACCTTGGTGCTAAAGCCTCACATGACACGAAAGTTCTTTCCCTAATTCTTCGACAACCTTTTATAATTCAACAAGGAATTTGCCCATGCCTGATCTCATTTGGTCAGACCAGAAATTAGGTGTTTTCCTCTCATATTTTAGAGACAAGTTTGGGGTGAAAAGCAATCTTTTTAAGGCCAGAGCATAACATATGGAAGCATTTAAATCACTCAACTGACAAGGGATGTCAAAAGACACACATTTTTTTGATGCCCTACTGGTGAATTGTGGTCAAATATAACCATAACAAAATACGTGAGCCAGCATCTTTATATTTGCTGTGAACTTGGCCTCAATGCAGGGAATGACTAGGCATTGAAGGCCTATGAAGTCTATGCTTTATTCAGAATAAGCTCCTCGGAGAGCTGCTTTGTCCAGATCTGTCCTGAAAAATGTAGTTAAACACCCTGTGGGGGGAGGTCAGATGCGCAGGCATTCCCCCCC